CTGGTGAATTTCAAAGGACTGGCTGGTTAAACAGAGTGTAATAATGCAATTATCATTCCAAGTTTATATGAGGCAATAAGCTACATGGGGGATTCATCGGATCCCTGATCTGGTTCTGATTTGTGCGTCTTTCTAAAGACAAAAATCATCTCATATGACGATGGCGTGAGTGAAGGTCTGCACGCTTCTGCTTCTCCTGCATTATTAGCATATATGATTAAAAACCAAAGCTCCAACACTGCAGATAAAAGCTCATCATCACGTGATTAATTAGAGCACTGCTTGATGGGATTAAGGCTGAATCTCATTTCACTCCTTCAGCCTCAACCTTAAAGGAGAAACGGGAGTTTGGTTCGTCTCTGAGGAGTAAATAAAGATTTATAGGGAATGGTTTCCTTCCAGGATGCAAACGTGGAAGTGAAGAAGATTTAACGTCCATAAGTGAAAACGACTCCAGCAGCGTCTACTTTGAAACGTCCCAGCAGATCTAGTCGCTGTTAATTATTGGTGATCAGATGAAAAATAGCAAATATGCATTTTGAAAAAATTAATATAACTTTCATTTCTTCTCAACAAGCTCATAAAGTGAAAACATACTGTAGCAAGAACAAAATAATTTACACACCAGACCTAAACACTTATCTGATCATTAAACTCAAAATCCTTTTATAAACACATCACATCTTTGTGCTTGTAAAATATTGGACTCCAGTTACGGATCAAAGTTAAAAATGATCAGGCTGATTGATTGGTGCATCTCTAGTTATGCAATATTACTCCCAGTGATGGATATATGTACTTAGTCATGTTTTATCACACTTTATTTCCTTTAAACATGTTAGTACTACACATGAAACCTGTCATTTTATAAACTATGTAAAATGTAAAAACTCTTTAAATACTTTAAAGTAAATCACAATTGTTCTGCATTACAAAGCATGAAAAAATACCATCTGCCTCTGTAACAGTTTATAGGATATTATTAGTCATCTTATTAGTGGTGCCCCAGTCTGATTCATATTTTAACCGCTCATGAATACAAATCAAACCCTTTCTGAAAAATAAAACCACGGTTTTATAAAACTGGAATTATTTTCAAGGCTCTCTGCTCAGTGTAAAGTAAAATAATTTTTAGAAGAGTTTGAAATGATGATCTAATCCAGGGGTCACCAACCTTTTTGAGACTGGGAGCTACTTCACAGGTACAGAGCAACAAGGGCACTTGTTTGATAGTCTTTATAAGTGTGTATATATATATATATATATGATATATATATACTGCCTGATCATATTAATGTCAGGACACTCACAATCGTTATCAGTAATAATTTACCATGGCAGCTATGGTTAATTGCTATTATGTGATTAGAAGTTTTTAGCTCACTGAGTTTTAAGTTTGATTCCCTTTTGGAGTTTTTCTCTGTGATTCTAAACTGGCCACAAGTGACTGAAATAAACAAAAGCAAACTGATGGATTGTTGCAGTAACACCTGCAGCTGTACTGAGTACCTTGAAATTTTCCTTTAAATAAAAAAGAAGAGTTATAGTTTTATTATCTAACCATCTGTTCTATTAGCAAAATGGTGGAAAATAAAATATATTTTGTGTCAAAACATATTATAGGCCTACACACACAGCTGTCAGTCTGATGCGTGAGGTGGGGAACCCCAAAGCCCAAGTCTTATTTGTCAGTTTGCTTTTATTTATTTCACGGCTTTGCGTTTTTCTGCAAGCTAAAAATTAACGAGTTAGGTTTGAACCTCCTGTTGTTTACAATTTTATTCAAAATATACAAAATATGTACAAAAACAGCTCCTGTAATGTAACCTACTACAGTTTGCTAAGAGCAGTGATTTTAACATGAGTTAAATTCATTTTTGTCAAACCATTATTCTTTATATCAATTATATATCATCTGCCAACTGCAACTGTTCTTACACCGAAACTTGTCTATTCCCACACTAATGTTACTTTTTCAATGTCACAAACACATTTTTATAAGGGTTTCTTCTTCAGTCCAACGACTGCTACAAACAGAAGGATCTCCACGAAGGCCGGTACGACACTGCAAACAAAGACAGGCAATGTAAGGCAAGTCCACTGGAGAGCCACCGGAGTTTCAGTCGTTCAAAATTAGACTCAAAACTGAACCTTTTGTTAACTACAACTCAAAGCCACACCAACCTGCAGCAGGCAAAGATCACCCAATAAGTCCAGCATTCCCACTTTTCAAACACAAAGAAGGACAAGGACACAGATGCACAGCAATGGGCAGCCAGTGCTTGGGGGAAACGTGTCAGGGAAAAACTCTCCTTCAAACATACATCTGACACACTAACCTGCAAATGGCAAGGATCCACCAGTAGATGTCACAATTCCACTGCTCAAATTGAAAGAAAAGCAGAGCCACTGAGGCACTGGCATGGACTCCTGTTGCTATTGTAGACAAACGTTAAACAGAAGCAAGATGATAGTCATGGATTTTAACTTGTTCATAAAATAACTGAAAATCTTTAAAGCTGTATTTGTTGTGCTTTATTTCTAAGGAGATTTTTTTATTGTATCCCTGCTAGTTCTACATTAACCCTACAGAAAATTTTCTAAAGTCACTGATAATCACAAACTGTGGCAGGCTGAAGGTTGTTGAGAAATTAGAGCAACTAACAAAGAGACTTTAATCCAAAACATATTACTTATGAGTATGAGTTTTACAACTACAATAAAGGTAAAAGTCGCGCCAACTATCAAAGTAAAGGATACAAAGAAGACTTTGGCTGGAGTTAAACATGGACACTCCGGAAAAGAAACCAGTCAGCTCTATTGCAAACAGACCGAGGGTGATTCCCAGGCCCACCAACAACCTGAAAAAAAGGAATATATTAAAAGCTGTGTATTTAAATGTGTAAAATTTGTTTGACTTTTACTTACTTTTTGTCTTCACTGTCATACTGCTCTTGGGTAAAATCCAAAGGTAAACAAGCTTTCACATTATTTTCCTGCAAGGAAGACGTTAAAATAAAAGTATGTCGAATTGACAAATTGCTGAATTGTGCTTTAGTAATAAACTTGCCTTGTCTAAAAACTAAATAAACATTTCTAAAAAAGTAGTTAATACAATGGGAGGATTAAGTTAATGTGCCTCTATATTTCAAACATCCTTCATACCCTGTTTTGAAATCAGACATAAAAGACATTTAGTGTTTCATTCTCTACAGCTTAATTCTGCATTTTTGTTTATATCTTAAATAAAAAACAACAACAACAACAAAAGGTTTTTTACTAACCCTTGACCAAAAGATGGTGATAACGATGACAAGGTGAGCTATGAGGGTGAGAAACCGGGCAGGGACAAGACTGCTGACAGCCGACATACTAGCACTGTTGGCTTCAAGTTGTACGGAGTAAAGACGAACAGCGAAGCAATAAATACTTACTGGCGCCCGAAAGCCGAAGCTAAAGTTACTAAAAACTGTGGAATGCCGTAAAGCTACATTAGCACATTGCTAAAATGAGTTGCTAACATTTAATAAGTAAGTAAATTATTAGTTTAACTCTTGTGGTTACACAAACAATAGCTATATTTGGTTTACATCTCGGAGATATGAAGTTCTGGTTACAATATCCTTCGTTTTCGAAAGGAGCTCACTTAATTCTTTCGGGTGTTTGCTACGCCGACGCTAACAACCGTTGCTACAACAACAACTTCATGTGTACGCTCGGTATTACTGACCGGACTTAAAACACACATTTAAACGTTCCGGTGTTCTGCGAAAATCTATCCCCCCTTGGAAATCTATCCCCTAACCTCCCTAAACTCGATTTCTCGGTCAGATGACTCACATAATCTTGTCAAAACTGTAACTTTCAGGTTAATTGACACCTGCGGTTCAAAACAAAAACGCCCAAACTCTTAAATAAATAAACTAAGTCTTGTGTGGGGCTCTTTTTACACAGGTTTCTGGCAAATTCAGGTTCAATGTAAAATTTGACACATATAACTGGAAAAAATATATTTTAATTAAAAAAATTTGATAGTGAATGCCAGTAATAATATGTTCGAACAATTATGTTAAATACCTTCAAATATTTCTCTATTATTCTGAGATTTAAGCTGACATAGTTCTTGTCTTTTAAAATGAGAGAAACAAAAAGCTTTTTGGATGCCATTGGACAGGGATTAATCAATCATTTCCAGATTTAGGTCGCTCAATCATAAAATCACACACAACTGTTCTTGAGGATTTGAAAACATTTGCTCTTTAATTGCCAAAGCTACCTGAAAGGAACCACATATTTCAGCTGTTTGAAATGATCTGCTGCGCATCCGTAACATGGGAGCAAATTAATTCACTTCTGAACAAATCCTGTATCTTTGGAAACATTTACTATTTATTTTCAGTGTAGCATTGGAGGGAAAAAAATGATATTTTGAACAAATAAATAAATAAATAAAATAATAATAAAACAGGAATATTTTAATGTTCTTTATTGAATAATATTGAATAATTATTGTGTCAAACTGTTGCAGTTTGACACAGATTATTTGACACTGCAATTTAAACTTTTATGGCTACATTTAACAATATTGATTACTGAACAAGAACAGCCATTAGTATCATTCTAAACAAAGAATATATTTCTAATGTTATTATTCAGATTTCTCTGCATTATCTATATTATTTATTTTCTTTTAATTTGTGCCTCCACTTCTGTTATAGGCTATGATAGTTGAAGCCAGAGAGCCCTTTTATGCTTCCAGCCCCCCATGCGTTTTTCCTTTTTTTCCCCATTAGTCAGGCCAAGTCCCTCCTCTCTCTCTCTCTCTCTCTCTCTCTCTCTCTCTCTCCTCTCTCTCTCTCTCTCTCTCTCTCTCTTCTCTCTCTCTCTCTCTCTTTCACCCCCCCCCCCCCCCCCCCTTCCCCCCCCCCACACACACACACAAACACACACACACACACCAGGGACTCGGCGAGGAAAGCACAACATTGTGGCGGTGACGCTCCGTTAAAGGCCTGGACTGTGCGTCACCGGCGGAGTAGCCAGGACAACCTGTCGGTGTTTTTTCCTGGAAAACGGGTTTATTATTTTTTAATTTTATTATTATTTTTATTTTTTATTTTTTACCGCAGAGACGCTTCATTCCGAAGCAGCATGGCAGAAGCGGAGTTAGAAACCTTCACCTCAATCATGGACGCGCTCGTTCGCATCAGTGTGAGTGTGACGCTAATTTTGTTAGCAATAGTAGCTACCTGTGCAGTTTAATTACATTTTACACAGGGCCTTAATACCCTTTCGACCTGCACTTTCAGTTTACCTCTCGAACAATTGGCAGGACTGAAAGGCTGCTGCATTAACGGAATGTGGGGCATTTCTCTTTTTGACATATTTTTTATTGCTTTTGTATCAGCAACCAAACGTAAAATCGCTGGTGTTTTGTCAGAAACGTGGTAGCACTGGCAGAACGTACGGAAAATCCAAACCCAGCTGGCGATTGGGTTGGTGTTTGATGGTTATAATGTGCTGAATATGTTGGCAAGTAGCATGAAAGGCTCTGGGCCGCACGCAGCGAGAAGGAAGAGATGATGCGCGTTGTCATAGGAACGGGAAGCTGCGCTTTGCAGCTGCAGTAGCAGGAAAAAGGGACCAGTACCAGAGAACCCAAATTAACCAGGCTTTCCATTTCTAAGCAATCTGTACCTTCGCTTACCAAACAATTAACAGATATTTTAAGCCAATTTGCGGCTGGAGGATTAATTTGCATGGGATCATTTCCATAAATGTGGAATATTTTGCTCTGCTCCAGAGCCAGCCCGAGGAAAACGTGAAGTGAAATTTATGACCTCAGGCCAGCAGGGAACATCCCTGGCAAAATGGACTTCTGACAAACATTTCAAGACTGCCAATTTGCATATAATGAGTTTAATTTGATTGAGAAGGTTGAAGATTTCAAGCCAATTTGAAATTTTAAGCATTCAGGAGCTGACTATCTGTAGTCACGAAGAGAAACATCCTCATAATTTTAAAATTAGTAGTCATATTTTAGTGTCCGTTCATTTATTTCTCCTGCTTACTGTCGATGGAAATATTCAACGTCAAGAACTTGACACTTTGGTCCCTTTAAGTTTTTTGAAAAATTGGTGACCTGAAGAATTGCTAGATGGCTTTATTTTTTTCTTCAAGAATATCCAAGCACCATAGACTGACAAAATACACTTATTTGCTTATTTTTTGCTTTGTTTATTCTAAACAATGCATAAAATAAAGCACCGTCTCCTTTCCCCATTAAGGAGCAAGAATATTGGGGCAGTTGTATTCAATCTGTCTGCCATTTACTGCTACAGTTGTTTAGATCTTCATAAGGATGGAGAAAGAAAATAGTGAACTATTCCACATTGCATTGTGTAAATGTCATCCTTCCTTTGTTATTATCTGTCCTCCTTTCTGTTTTGATTTCTTTCTTTCTTCATTGTGTCTTTCTATCATGCATTTCTCCCTTGTGTCATTCATTCTTGGTTCCTTTCTTCTCCATCATTCATTCTTCCCTTCTTTCCTAGTCTTGTTCTCCTGCTGCATCCATCATTCTTTATTTATTTGTGTCTTAATTTTCCTCTATTCTATTCATCCTTTCTCACGTCTCACCACATGTTGTTCACAGTTTATTTGTGGCTCGACTCAGCCGTTTCTAAACCAGAACCTTTTCTCAGTGAACCTTTCCCATGCTATTCTCTTTCCTCCCCTTCCCTCTCCAGTCCAACATGAAGAGCATGGAGCAGGAGTTGCATTGCCCAGTGTGCGACGAGATGGTGAAGCAGCCCATTCTGCTCCCGTGCCAGCACAGCGTGTGTCTGCTGTGTGCAGCGGAGATGCTGGTGCAGAGAGGTTATCCTCCCCCGGATCTCCCTGCGGAGCCCATCTCACCAGCCTCCACGCCCAACTCTCGCTCTCCACGGCAAGCACGCCGACCCGTACCCAGGACCCCTGACCACCTGGAGCGGGTCTTCAGAACAGGTACAGGAGACCATTTCTTAATGTCTGTGTTTGTGTAGAGGATCTTACAGAGTTTAGAAGGAAGCTTGGCTCATGTAAGCAAGCGATATTAGCATCTGAGTGAGGGGAGAGTGAAATGTTATGTAAAAATGCATAGATGATGATGCATTAGGATGTTTTGGTTGTTGTTCCATTGAACATTATATATTCAACTCATGATTTATTCATTCAGTTTAGAGAAAAGAACATGGAGACTGCAATAAAGGATTTCCACTGTGAAAATGATCTATTCCTAGAATTCTGCAAGCTTGTTACTTGTCAGCCTTATAGCCATTCTCCCTTTCGCGTTTCCTCTCTGGATGTCTGTCTTTTTCTTTCATCTCCTGTATACCTGTTTTCCCCCTCCCAGTATGTGGGACATACCCAGGGAGAAGGCGGAGGGAAGCAGCCCCTCCCCCCATGCTGTTCCCCTGTCCTTCCTGTCAGCAGGACGTGGAGCTCGGGGACAGAGGACTCACTGACTGCTTCCGTAATCTCACTCTGGAGCGCATCGTCGAGAGGTTTGCATGCACAAAAGCTTCAAAAACATAACCTTGGAAAAGAATTCATCCCTCTTTCACCTCGTCACATCTTATCACATTGGAGCTGCACATTTCAATGCATCTTTGGGGTTCGATTTGGTGATTGTAAGACAATGGAAAAATGTGAAAGGCAAATCATTTGCAGTTTTTAAATAGATATCACTAATATTCTCCAGAATTTCTATGAAAGAGTATGCAGACTTTTGTGGTAGCAAGGTGAAAAAACATATGTGTATTTTTGGAAAGCACTAAAGGTTGTTGTTTTAACTTTAAACAACATTCATAAGCAACAAGGTAGGTCAATGAGCAACCATCTGAGGCAATACTGCTGTACAAACGAGACAGGAAATCATTTGCTGGAAGGAGTTTAAATAATGAATTGCTCCTTTAGTCCTGATCAAAGGCTAAGTCAAAGAGCACTTTGCAGTGAAAGCTTAAAAACTGCAGTGCTCTGTGGGACAACAGACCATAAAACTTGCAGTTATGCCATTACTTGTAAACTTTTAGGGATAACTGTGAAGTAAAATGTTTTTTCTAATACCCATTTTATTTAATCAGGGTCATCAGCTTTTAGTTAGTTTGAATGAGAATGTCATGGAGGTCAGCTGATTCGTGGGCTGCCGTTGAAGACTGCAGCTGCTCACGCCTCATCAAGCCACAAACTGCGATGCTGCATGTTTTACTGCATTAACGTGGCGAGTGCTGTCGATGAATCTAGGTCAGCTAGTTAAAATAGTGATTTGCCAAACTAAAAAGAAAGCAGGACACTCTCACATGAGATCAGTCTTTCTCCAGTTGTGCTGATTTTTTTTCCTGAATTTTGTCATGACCTCATTGTTTGTGTTTAGGTACAGACACACAATAAGTCTGGGCAGCGTAGCGATTATGTGTGGCTTCTGTAAGCCTCCCCAGTCTCTGGAGGCCACTAAAGGATGTGCCGACTGCAAGTCAAACTTCTGCAATGAATGTTTCAAACTCTACCATCCCTGGGGAACTCCAAGAGCTCAGCATGAACACATTCTACCCACTAACAACTTCAGACCAAAGGTTCATCTCTCTCTTTTTTTTTTCTTCAGTCCAGTTTGCAGTGGCTGCATTTCTCATGTCTGATGCTTTTAAACCCATTTTTGGATTCTAGGTTTTAACATGCACAGAGCATGAGCAGGAGAGGCTGCAGTGGTACTGCCGTAACTGCCAGCGGTTGCTGTGCCAGCTGTGTAAACTCCGTCGGGTTCATCATGGACACAAAGTTTTACCCATAGCACAAGCTTATCAGGCCCTCAAGGTGAGTCTTTAACCTTGTTTAAGTTTTTGTGTGTGTGTGTGTGTTACCATCTTGCCACTATCACAAGGTTTATTTTGGTTTTACAGGACAAGATTAGCAAGGAAGTCAACTTCATCCTGGCCAATCAGGAGACGATTCAGAGTCAGATCGCTCAGCTGGAGGCTGCCATCAAACAGATGGAGGTCTCAGTTTAACTCACCACTGAAATTCCTTCAGAAATGTTCTTGCTTTTTAAAACCAACAACTACTCAACATTAAGCCATTGTTTACACCTCCCAAAACTGTCTCTATTTTAAATTTGCTTAAGGTTATTTTCTGGCAGACTGCAAGTTATTTTCTTGCACTCTGCCAGAAAATAACTGAACAATGGGCCCTCATAAGATCTTTTTACGTGCTAATGATCTAAAATATATGATTAAATCATGAATCATAAATAAAATCAGTCCTCCATGGCTCCTGAGGACAAAATTCATATAAAAAATCGTAATCCAAAGTAAAGAGAACATAAGAGAGTACAGAGGAGCCTTAACAGTCGAGAGAGGCTGGTCGACGAGAACTCTCTCTATCTGCTCCCATATTGAATAATGCGATAGCAGAAGAGAAAGCTAAAATGCAAATAGAAGTTCTACAAATTATTAATAACGCCAATAAGCATGGAAGTTTCTGTATGTTTAGAAACAGCAAGCATAATGAGGAGCAAAGGTTTCTGTGATCTCGGTTAATCCTGTCTACTTATGGTACTTTTCCTGTGCTTCTCTGCAGGCTAACAGCAGTGTGGCTCTGCACCAGCTGACTCACTGCATCCGAGAGCTTGGAACAGCCGTCGCCGAGCGTCAGGGGACTCTCGCCATTGCCTTGGAGGAATCCCGGAGCAGAAGACAGGAGGCTCTGAACGTCCAGGTCTTTGAGAAACAGGGACTGATGGAGCAGGCAGGTCTGATGGCATTCACCCACGAGCTGCTCAAAGACACAGACGCTCCCTGCTTTGTGCAAGCCGCAAGAGTAACACACAGCAGGTTAGCGCACGTTTATTTAGGTGAACCAGGAGCTCAGTAGAAGTTATTTGTTTGTTAATGTGACTATCTCTTTTTGTTTCTTTTCTGTTTTGTCTCCTAAGGTTGATTAAAGCCATAGAAAACCTGCAGTGTTTCTCTCTTGCTGTTGACACCTCCTTTAGACGCTTTCACCTTGATGCATCCAAAGAGGTCAAGCTCATCAACAGCTTGCAATTCATCCAAGGTGGGCTCCCATCTATTTTGCCCCTAAAATTCTATTAAAAAGGTGAAAAAGAACAACATGATCTTAGTCTCTTTTCTCTCCTCAACAGCCCCTCAGGCTCCAGTCATCGACACTCAGAAAACATTAGCTTATGACCAGCTATTTTTATGCTGGCGCCTGCCTCAGGACTCGGCCCCGGCGTGGCACTTTTCTGTGGAATACCAGAGACGAGCAGGTGCCACGTGGGGCGGCATCAGCTCCCCGAACTCTTCGACACCGTGGCTGCGTCTGAATGAGGTGAAGGGGACCAGCGCCGTGGTAGACCGGGTGCAGATGGACAGCGTGTACGTTCTTAGAGTGAGGGGCTGCAACAAGGCTGGGTTTGGAGACTACAGTGAAGAGGTTTACCTCCACACGCCACCTGCACCAGGTCAGATGTGTACACAGGATCTGGTATTTGTTTCCCAATGAGAACATCTGCTAAGATGCTTGTTGGTTTTCTTTGTTTCTGATTTTAGCAGGTTCCAAACTTAAATCCTGATAAGTGCAGTTGCATATGTCATTCATTTTTTTTACTTTCTATTCAAAAATGAGTAAAAATCCGGGTTTAGAAAAATGTTGATGTTATATTAGACTTTGTGCAACATCCGTGTGGATTAGAGGCTGATGTATTTTGATTCCCACAAAAATGTTTTAGACTGTTGCCATGCTTCACTTACCTGACTAATCCTTGATATTTTCTTTTCTCTCATTCCTTCATTTCTTCCATTCCTACTTTTTTAGTTTCTGCACAAAGACTTCCTTTTTTGCTCTGCATTCCAGTGTCATCCCCGTCATAACATCTCTGCTTCTGTCTCTCATGCTGCAGGTCTGTCGTGATGCACTTTCAAATATCTGTTAGTGCTTAAGAGATTTTCTCTCTTAATATATTCATCACTTCGTGAAACATTTACTCCTTCATTTTATATTTTGAAACATTATGCACAGAGTCAGTGTTTGCTTTATTTCTGTTGTTGTCTAGCAAAGTTTTCCAAATCAAATATGTGCTCTTCTCCTGATCTTTTTTTCCAGTTACTTGTAACTAATACTTCTCATAGTTTGTCTGAAGTCCTGTAATTTCTTACTTGTTTATCTTACTTTTCTCCTTTTTTTCACCTTTTTCCTGGTTCACCTCTTTTTTTTCTGTCCGTCCAGTTTTGAGTTTCTCCTTGGACTCTCGTTGGGGTTTACATGCTGACCGTTTGGCGCTAGGTAAAGGCCAGACCTATGCCCGGAGTGTGCCTGGCCTCTCCCTTCTCCAAGCTGCTGACCGCGCTCTCACCTCTTGTCACTTAACCTCTGACCTCCTTGTGGCCGACTTGGCCGTCACTCATGGCAGACACTACTGGGCGTGCTCTGTGGAGCCTGGGTCCTACTTGGTGAAGGTGAAAAAGATGTCTCGAGAGTGATTTCATGTTAAATGTGTAAGTGTATCATATTTTGTCAGACTTCTTGTGATATCTTTCTTCTCTCATTTTCAGGTAGGTGTTGGACAGGAGGCTAAACTACAAGAGTGGTTCCATCTCCCTCAGGACATGGCGAGCCCACGGTAAACGTTTCATTTTTACCAGATCCACATCGCTGTCTCAGAAATGCAGTCACTTAACTCATGCATGATAATCAGATTAAAATCTGTCAAATTAAATGCATCACTTTAAAGTTGAACGAAATCCTGCAGTTTTAATACTCTTCTTTCATATTGAAATCTGAAAAATATGCTGTGTATTTGTACTTAGCCTCAGTGAGTCAAAAAAATAATGTGGAGCCACCTTTTGGGCTACGCAACTACCAGCTTTGGCCATTCTCCTGTGCTAAAGTGCTGGAGGTCAGTCAGATCCAGAGGTTACCCAGAAGTTGTACTCAAATAAGAAAAACACTACTTTAGAATATTTCTATGCAAGTAAAACTATAAAGCAGCTGTGCAAGAAATTTCTTAAGGAAGAGTAAAAAAAGTATTTGGTAAATTGCTACTTAAGTACTGAGTAACTGATAACAACATCTGACTTAATATTTTACAATAACGTCATCATTGTGCTTTAGCTCATTCTATCTTTTCCATCCTGACCAAGATCCTGTCGCTGTGTTACTTAGTCTTCATAATGATATCTGTTCACTATAGTTCTCTTACAACTCTCTCAGGTCTTCATAGAACATGTGAAATGTATCTAGACACATTTGGACTAATTTTTTGTAAGCTGATCATCTCTGATTGTAATTGATTAAGAATAAATTAAACTTCATTCACAGATATTAAAAAAAAACAACTATTGTTTTACAAATCAAAACAATTGATTTTCTTCTGCTTCACAAATATGCTCTACTTTCTGTTGTTCTATCACATAAAATCTCAGTCAGATTTGTTGCATTGTAGATGCCAAATCAGATGAATAATTTCCAGACTAAAATGAAGCATTTATTTATTTAAGTTCTCATGCCCACTAGATGGCAGCACATAGACATAGACAGAAGTTCCTTTGTCTACCCACCCTTCCATAAAAATGTGAGTAATTGAGTGTGAAAAAGTATAAAACTTTGACATTAAATGTATAGGAACTCTGGAGGAGTAGACAACCAAAATTCCTGCTTCCTCTTCTACTTTTAGCAGTTCTCAGAACCAAACAAAGGTCTCAGTTAGAGTAACATAATGTGTGATGGTGCCATTTTTCATGTTTTCCTTTTTAGGCGGAGGATGTGTATGTACGCATTCTAAAAAGAGAATAACTACATTGAATTGTATTTTAAAAGGACTAAAAAAGTGATACTGTAGCAAAGTTTGATCAGTCTCCCAATTCTTCTTACTTCTTTCTCGCCCATCCTGATGGTGATCTCCCCTCTACCAGTTGTGATCCAGACAGTGGCCATGACAGCGATGCAGAAGACGGCCAGGACTCCCCTCCCTTCTGCTTCCTCACCGTGGGCATGGGTAAGATCCTACTCCCCAAAGAACATGTTCCCTCTCACAGCCAGAGCGAGAGCCACAGCCAGGCAGCATTGCACTCTCAAAGCAGCAACTATAGCAACAAGCCTCACTCCCACACTGCTCCCCTACCTCCACGACTTGGAGTCTGTCTGGACTGTGACAAAGGCCAGGTTGCCTTTTATGATGCCCACTCCCTGCGTATGCTGTGGGAGGGGCACGTGGATTGCTCTGCTCCAGTTTGTCCAGCTTTTTGTTTCATAGGCGGAGGAGCGCTACAGCTGCAAGACCTTGTCGCCAACCGGAGCATCGAGGAGCCTCCGCCACGCAGGGTAACCATTGAAACACGAGTAAAAAAGTTCAAGTAGATAAACAGTGCTTGGTGCAAGTCATTAAAATCCAGTTCGTCCAACCTGTAGAGCTAAAAATAATTTATTCTATCTGGTCAAATATGGTTATGTCCAGTAAGCTAACATACAGTCATCATGAGCATGAATGTCAGAAGCTCCTGCTCTAAAACTGACACCTTCAATTTCGACTGAAATTTTCAAAGAACAGTTCAACACTGTTATTTTTTTTTTAGCAGGGCTGGTGTTAGAATGGATAACAGTGTTCTATACATGGTATAATAGAGCTTCAGCGTTGTCTTCTTATTCTTGCCTGCAAAAAAAAAATTAACTAAATCAATAAAGCAGCAAACGGGATGACATTCATGCCCTTCACGATATCTGTTAACTTACCTTGTAACTTCTATCCCTGCAAATATATGAAAAATGGTATTTCAGTGCAATTTTTGAAGTAGACAATAAATATTTGATGTTCTCTTACCTTTAGACTTAAAAAACACAATTTATCTCTTTTGCTTCTTATTTCCTAAACGAAAAAAAACTAAATCTAATGGACATTGTGGTTGAAGTGGTGTTAGACTATGCATAAATCTGTTAACAGGGTGAGTCAAACTCCTTTATCATACTTTAAAACTCTCACACAGAAAAATACAGCTTGCTCTCTGTTTTTTCGTCCCAGACTCAATGGACAGCAAAAGTTGCATGTACGTGTAACTTCGCTTCCTTATGCAGATATTTGACTGTCACCTTGTGAAGACACCTGATATGCTGTATGTCTAATTTTCTACCTTCGTTTTTTTACGCAGCTTAAGAAATGTCAATGTGAATTCACCAGGATTAGATAAATGTGAATATTAGGAGTTGCCTTTGCCGGAAGCACACATGTCAATATCTGAAAAAAAACACCCTTTTTCTCTCCGTTTTTGCATTTCAAAAGATCTTGAGAAGCTGCACTATAATGCTCAAGGCTGCCTTTGTGTTTTCAAATTTCCACAGAAATCAAAATGAAGGATGCTCTGAATGAGTGATGTTCTCTTTATTCTGCTTGACTTTTAAACATATGAAAATACTTTGGATTTTTGATTTTTCACAAACTTGTTAATTGTTCAGCTTGGAACTATGAGTCATTTGCACATACATAATAAAGATTACATATTTAAAGTATAATAACGAGGGGCTTAACCAGCTGAAGACTTCAGTTGTTTAACTTTCATCAAATAAAATGTATTTGTTTTCTCTGTATTACATTACTTATTTGATTACAAAAATAATCTAAAGGTGTGTTTGGTCAATGAGCAAGCAAGTCTCTTTTGCAGCAATATTTTAATTCTATTTTCAAACTGACTGGCTCAGACTGTATTTTAATGATCAATATGGGTGTAAGATGGATGCATGTGAGCTCTGGCTTTAACTTTGATATTCTTCATGAATCCCGTCTCCTGCAGCTGAAAGAGATACTATTACAATAAAATTATGTACACAGATTGGAGCGGATTATGTGCTTATCGTACAGATGTATTGCACATCTCTCACTTTGAACAGTGTGTTGTTCTGGTTTTGAAGGTTTTATATCTGGTGTGGTCACTTTGTGGTGCAATTTCAGCTCTCTTCATTTTGGGCATTTTTTAAAATTAATTTTAGGTGTCTTTCTCTACACATACTTTTTTCTTTGTTTAGATTTACGTTGCTGATATTTTTGTCTCAATCAACTATTTTAATTTGGAAATTTTTTTTGTTACAATATTTTGTAAGTCTTGTAAAAACTCTATAGCTCTTTGTCAGTGTGGTCCTTTAACATCTTGTCAGTCTACATCATCCTCTTAAAGGTCAGAGTTCTGCAACTTTTAGATTTGTCCCTTTTCTTATGGGCTACTCACTGCTATTATTAGCCATGTGTGCTGAAGTAGAGAGACATCTAAGATTTGCAGGTCACCGTCCGTCGAGAGCTGGAGTTTAAGACTGGAGTGTCAAATTGTTGTATTTTGTCTCATTGTTTGATGTATATTTCTGTCTCCTGTGTTTCTCTTGGATCCTCATGAATCTGTCCTCACGTGTCCTTCTGTTTTGAATGGATTACCTATTGTTGTACGCCAGCACAGCACTCGAATGGCTTTAGATTGTAGCATTCAGAATTTTAAAATTGCCTGTCTGGCAGATTGCTTCCATGTTGTTATGAGAAAAACAATAAAAGACTGAAAACTGCAACACAATGTCAATATTTTCAAGCCATAGCCCTCAATAAATTACTGATCTTCTTAGCCTCTGTGCTTTGTGCACAGATGTAAGTCATAAATCCTTTTCTGAGAAATATCCATAATATAATCTGTGTTCACTTAAGTTCTGTCCTCAGTCCCCTCTTGCTTATCAAACATTTTATATAGAGAAGATAAAAACTTTATTGTTCATAGAAATTTGGTTTACATATTAAGTCATATGCCTCCCTTTAACATCATCACAAATATTAAAAATATGTGATCTGCAAGAATGTGTTTATTTTCTGTAAAGACACATTGTCTTTTCTCATTGTTTCACATTTAAACAGATAAAACTACCTGGTTTCAGCCAATTATGGTTACCCATTTTGTACACAATGCCGTAATTAGAGAAAAATACTTTTTTTTTTCTACTTACATGAGGTTTACACATTTTCACACCATCTGGTAGAATTGCTGTTTAAACTTTGTGATTTGAGTTGAAACTTACTTCAACTAAATTCTTTTATTTGCTGAAAACTTGCTCAGTTTTGATGCAATTGATGCAGCTAAGTCGAGTTGTAGGCCACTTTGCTCACCCACAGTTTTTTCAGGTTTTACCACATATTTTAAGATCAGAGCTTCCTGATTGGCACTATTTACTTTTTGTCCAAAAGCTACTTTGTAACTAATTTGGTTGTACTCTTTGGGACATTGTGACCAGTTTTGTGAAGTGCACACGTTTCTTCTGCAGCACAGCATCCTGACAACATGGTGGCCACCTGTTTTTCACAATCCCACATTGTGGGAAAATCACAATGTTTGAGCTTCTGCCAAAAAGGTCATCCACAGGTGTGCCCCCAGTTTGATTGCAAGTTTTGAAATTACCTATAAAAAGCTTAGAAATCAAAGTGTTTGAACATACATTCCCAATATCCTTTATTCTGAATATGAATAAAGAATAGAAATATTTTTGGCTTATCCCAATTGACTCAAAAAAGGAACATTTTAATCCAAATTAATGTAAATATTTGGTTTTATGAGTCTCCTTCCCCATGTTCTGTGAGGTAAATATAATTTTTCACTGCTACCTAAAATGACATTCAACTCTACCTTACCGTCCTTTTCTCCCACGCACTCCTCCTCCTCAATGTTTAATTAGGATTAAGTGTTGAATCCTCCTAAGCTTCCCCATTTAAAATGGGGATAAAAGTGAGGTTCTCCTCCCAGGTTCAAAGGAAACTCTTTCCAAAGCCGAAAGCTTCTTTATTAATATTGACATTTCCAGTGTTTCCTCCTCCTGTCATTTCAGGAGTCTGGGAATCCTGCTGACTAGCACACAGCTCAGATAAATCAAGTAACCCAGCCTGCTTAATGTCACCTACATAACATAACTCTCCTGCTGGCCATATCTGTTTACCACATTACTTCAATCTTTCAACAACTTAACTGGTTTCCCTTTACACACTGCATTCACCCAAAAATCATGCTACTTGCTTTTAATCCCATTAACAATGTTTCTCATATCTGTTGAAATCCTCCTGCACCAACAAGTCCTCATATCCTCCCAGGTACCTCTCTTCCTTTCTCCACATGAGAAAAGGAAATCAAGCCTTTTCTTGACCTCTACAAGAGGTTATGGCTTCAGTTTATTTTAATCTCCTTGACCAGACCAGTCCATAAAAACCCCTCATACCTAGAAAGGGTCGTACTGCAGCTTTGACCTTTTTTGGTGACCTACTGGTATTCAGGAGAACAATATGAATCAAAGCCCAGCTTGCCTTTCCTCTTATTAATTTTCCTAATTAATTAACTTGCGGTTTTCACCACCTGCATCATACCTACCCAAAAACCCGATGTTGCAACATGTTTTGCTCAATCTAGCTGAAGGGTGAACTGTTCCCTTCTGTATAAAATCATCCTATGGTGACTGACGGTAAACAAAACACGGTTAATAAAACAAACTTTTGTTTATATGTGATGGAAAATAAAAGTTGTCTCCAAGAGAAAGCCTTGCAGGCTGCGTGTGAGGACAAGCTTCCCCTTTATCACACGAGCACACCTGATGCTGTTGGAACAGATAAAAGGGCCACTGAGTTCAAATTTAATCTGCTTGTTTTGCACAGTAGCAGGAAACTCATCAAGACACCTGAAACCTCCAGCAGAAGGGAGAGATTTGGTAAGACAGCTCTGTGGTTTTGCTTTACAGCATTGAATGAGGCGGTTAGAGCCAGTAGAACTTGTCGTGAGGACAATTGTTCAACCTGACTGTCTTCACCCAGACAAAGTAACACAAAGGCATGATCACATTGAACAGCACCAACATTATTCACAGTCACGAAAGGTTTTACAAACACAGACCAAAGAATGAAATTCAAGGGCATGCAGCGTGGAAATAAGTGTGGCCAGTAGGGGGAAGCATTGTTTCTGATTTGTGGACAACAAATCAGAAACAATGCTGATGTGGTCCATCCAGGCTCACCTGGTCTGGTTACAAATCTGTGTTGACAGGTCTAAGCTACGACTTAAAACAACTCTTGAACTTGATATAGCATGTGTTTTTAATTACTTCAAGATAGAAAAATATAAAAACTTCTACTTTATGTTGATTTTTGTGTAACTTCCCCAAACAAAAATAACCAAAGAGATGAAAACTCAACATCTTTACTGTGTTGACAGTGTGATCTACATTTATTAGCGTAACTCTAGAAAAACTCAACTTTTTACTTTTATGAAATAGAAGAAAATTTTTATGAAATAGAAGAAAAATCCTAAATAGAAAATAAATGTTTGTTTTTTAAAAAATAACATAAGACACACCTATTGGTACCTCGATTTTTGCTTTCTGCTAGATCAGAAAGCAAAGTATTGCTTTCTGATCTAGCAACACTTATTTTCCTCCTATCGCATTTCACAAGGCTCAAACATTAGATAACTGTTTGGAAACTGGGATGACCTAAGGAAGGCTGATTCTGCGTTTGCTGAACTATTTCTGTGTCTGTATAATTATGAAAGATCCATGATTATCTATTTTCTCTTTTTCTGTCCTAGATTTCAAAACCTCTACATTGCTGGTCTAACAAGATTTGCAAGGTCTTTGGAAAAGGCCCACAGCA